GAAATAGCTATCCCAGTCCCCCCTTAACGCTTTGCTAGCAATCCCAAAAATTTAGCACACAAGCGATGTCACAGTAGCGACTGATGAGAACTAATTAGCTCGAAATAGCTATCCCAGTCCCCCCTTAACGCTTTGCTAGCAATCCCAAAAATTTAGCACACAAGCGATGTCACAGTAGCGACTGATGAGAACTAATTAGCTCGAAATAGCTATCCCAGTCCCCCCTTAACTTTTTGCTAGCAATCCAAAAAATTTAGCACACAAGCAATGTCACAGTAGCGACTGATGAGAACTAATTAACTCGAAATAGCTATCCCAGTCCCCCCTTAATTTTTTGCTAGCAATCCAAAAAATTTAGCACACAAGCGATGTCACAGTAGCGACTGATGAGAACTAATTAGCTCGAAATAGTTATCCCAGTCCCCCTTAACTCTTTGCTAGCAATCTAAAAAATTTAGTACACAAATGATGTCATAGTAGCGACTGCTGCCTGTGGATAGCTCTAGATTGCTTCTGACTTTTTTTTATCACAGTATAAGATAATAACATTACAACCTCAACCTTTTAGTGACAGGAAGGCCTGGAGGAACGTTGTCCATGGGGTCGCGATGGGTCGGACACAACTTCGCAACTAACAACAACAAGCCATTTCTATGAAAGCAAATCTATCTCCTCAGCAAAACCAAAGTTAAAGTTTCATTTTTTTTTTCATCACAAGGACAAAATCCAGAAGTGATATCCAAATGAAAAAAAGATACATTCTCCTCTTTGAATAGAACAACTGATTAAACCATTACTGTTTTACCTTCCTTGCTGTTGAAATAGAAATATGTACAGAGAAAAGCAACAAAGATGATTAGGGGACTGGAGGCTAAAACATATAAGGAACAGTTGCTGGAATTGGGTAGGTTTAGTTCAGGGGTAGGCAGCCTTGGCTCTTTTATCACTCGTTGACTTCAACTCCCAGAATTCCTAAGCCAGCATGGCTCAGCTTGGAAACCTCTCCCTTTCCCCTCAGCATGGCTGGCTCAGGAATTCTGGGAGTTGAAGTCCCTGAGTCATGAAAGGGCCATAGTTCCCTCATGCTGACTCAGGAATTCTGGGAGTTGAAGTCCACAAATCATGAAAGGGCCATACTTCCCCCATGCTGGCTCATGAATTCTGGGAGTTAGAGTCCACGAGTCATGAAGGAGCCATAGTTCCCCCATGCTGGTTCAGGAATTCTGGGAGTTGAAGTCCACGAGTCATGAAGGGGCCATAGTTCCCCCATGCTGGCTCAAGAATTCTGGGAGTTGAAGTCCACGAGTCATGAAAGGGCCATAGTTCCCTCATGCTGACTCAGGAATTCTGGGAGTTGAAGTCCACAAATCATGAAAGGGCCATACTTCCCCCATGCTGGCTCATGAATTCTGGGAGTTAGAGTCCACGAGTCATGAAGGAGCCATAGTTCCCCCATGCTGGTTCAGGAATTCTGGGAGTTGAAGTCCACGAGTCATGAAGGGGCCATAGTTCCCTCATGCTGGCTCAGGAATTCTGGGAGTTGGTCCACAAGTCATGAAGGGGCCAAGGTTGCCTACCTCTGCTTTAGGGCTTCACCAGTGGAACCTGTCTGCCACCTGAGGAAGGTTAGGATTACAGAGCACAGCTGTCTTTGCAAAGAAATTATTTCAGAGACTTTGAGACTTAAATTGAGCTGTTGTCACCAAGAGATAAGCCAGGTCTGGGCTTAGTTCACTGTATTTTACAACTGGGGCAGGAGAAGCCTGACTGTAGCAAATGAAAAGCTCTAGATCAAAGGATGCCCTTTGATAGGTGCCAAAACACAACTCACAACTCAGCTTTTTTATAAGGATGACAACAAGTCCCAGGGCAGAAGTTCAAAATAATAATAATAAAGTTGGAAGGGACCTTTGGAGGTCATCTAGTCCAATCCCTGCTTAGGTTGTTCCACTGATTAATTGTTCTAACTGTCAGGAAATTTCTCCTTAGTTCTAAGTTGCTCCTCTCTTTGGTGAGTTTCCATCCGTTGCTTCTTGTCCTGTCTTCAGGTGCTTTGGAGAAGAAGAAGAAGAATAATAGTAAAGTTGGAAGGGACCTTGGAGGTCATCTAGTCCAACCCCCTGCTCGGGCAGGAAACCCTACACCATTTCGGACAAATGACTGTCCAGTCTCTTCTTAAAAACTTCCAGTGTTGGAACATTCACCGCTTCTGGAGGCAGGTTGTTCCACTGGTTAATTGTTCTAACTGTCAGGAAGTTTCTCTTTAGTTCCAGGTTGCTTCTCTCCTTGATGAGTTTCCATCCGTTGCTTCTTGTCCTGCCTTCAGGTGCTTTGGAGAATAGCCTGACTCCCTCTTCTTTGGGGCAGCCCCTCAGATACTGGAGCACTGCTATCATGTCCCCTCTTGTCCTTCTCTTCATTAAACTAGACATACCCAATTCCAGCAACCGTTCCTTCTATGTTTTAGCCTCCAGCCCCCTAATCATCTTTGTTGCTTTTCTCTGCACTCTTTCTAGAGTCTCAGCATCTTTTTTACATCGTGGTGACCAAAACTGGATGCAGTATTCCAAGTGTGGCCTTACCAAGGCCTTGTAAAGGGGTACTAACACTTCACGTGATCTTGATTCTATCCCTCTGTTAATGCAGTCTAACACTGTTGGATTTTCAGCCTAATACCATTCCAAATATTTCTCATATAAGGCAGAAGTCACCAACCTTTGTCGGTTGGTGGATCGGAGGAAAAGGGAGGGGAAAGCATTTTACATGCGTGCATGCGCATGTGTGCGCATGGGGCTGCAAGCATGCATGTGCTTGCAAACAGGGCGGGGCTAGCACTTGTGTGATACTCACTAGTCCCGCCCCGTTCTTGTGTGACGCAGTGCCTTGTTTCTGCACCCTGTGGCTCGTTTTTGTGCTCCATGGCGTGGTGGTGGTCCGTTTCCGTGCCCCGCAGCATGTCGGCAGCCATTTTAGCACCTTGCAGCGCGGCAGTGTCCTGTTTTTGCACCCTGCCAAACAGCGTCGCGTGGCGTCCCGTTTTTGTGCCCTGCAGCCACGGTGTGCACGCACACTGGCCAGCCTGTCTTGTGGTCCAGTGGCCAGTAAGCCACAGCCCAATACGAGGGCACGGCCCACAGGTTGGAGACCCCTGATATAGGGAATGGGCTGTAAAGAGCTTCCCAGATTTGGAATGAAACGTGAAAAAAGTTGTAGCAGCTCTCATCCTGCAAACTTATTTTTCCAGATCACCACAAGAGCCGGACACTATTTTGCACAACCTCAGTCAAGAAAAACCTGAACAAATTCCGGCTTAATCCGTTTGGAAATAAAAGGCAGAGTTCAGAGGAGCAGACAAAGAGAGAAACTTAAGCCAACAACCAGACACGATTTGAGCAAGATGTTTGTAGATAAAAAGCTGCAGAGAAAAATATTTAAAGCAGTGTTGAAAAACCCTACCATAGATCTTTGACAAAAACTCATTGGTAGACTCATGCTGTGGGTCCGGCTGAGTTGGTGGACACGATGTCGCCCCCTCTGGCCATCCCTAGCCATGACCAGGGACACACAATAGCACAGGGGTCTTCAAACCTGGCCCTTTTATGACTGGTGGACTTCAACTCCCAGAATTCCCCAGCCAACATGCCTGGCTGAGGAATTCTGGGAGTTGAAGTCCACCAGTCATAAAAGGGCCATATTTGAAGACCCCTACAATAGCACCTCTGCTTGGAGGACCACCTCCATGTTGGGAAGTGTAATAAGTAGATCTGCCATCTCCTTCACGACTGTGCAAGCTTTCTTGGCATATATGTGGCACACTTCAGGCATTCCTCAACTTACGGCCATTTCTTTAACCCAACCGTTCAAAGTTACTACAGCGCTGAAAACAGAGGCATATGACCCAGTCCTCACACTTACGACTATCAAAGCATCCCCATCATGGCCACACGATCAACTGGCGTATATTTATGACGGTTGTGCCAGCATCCCAAGGACGCGTGGCTGCCATTTATGACCTTCCCAGGGGCTTTTTCAATAAAGTCAGTGGCAAAAGCCAGACTCACTTAACAACCGTGGCCAAAAAAAATCAGCCATGTCTTCCTTAACGACCTCCTTGCTTAGCAGCCAAAGTTTCATGCTCAATATGAGAATCTGAGTGACGCCGCATTTCACATTTCTTTGTAATCTAAACATTTAGTCTTTTAAAAATAAATTATGTTTTGTCATAATTTATATAAATCTTATATAATCGTCTTTGAAGTGAGTGACCTTTGTTTTTCCAGTCAAATTAAAGATGGACAGCCTTCCTTGAAATATTTTCGACTCCAACAGCACACTTTGTGCAAGAAGCCAGAAGAAAGTCAATATCATTTATAACTTTTGAAGTTTTTTCCAGAAACTCAAGTTATGTTCTTGATACAATAATACAATTCTAGACGTAAGTCAAGGATTTCCTCTAAAAGTATAGTTTTTATCTTTTTTTTTAAGATTGTAAGCTGCCCAGAAACTTTGCAAATAAATAAAAAAATAAATACAGGTAGCCCTCAACTGACAACAGTTCATTTAGTGGCCTCTCAAAGTTACAACGGCACTGAAATAAGTGATTTACGACCATTTTTTTCAGAGTTACGATCTCTGCAGCCTCCCCGTGATCATGTGATCAAAATTCAGATGCTGGGCAACTGGTTCCTATTTATGACCGTCGCTGCGTCCCGGGGGGGGGGGGTCACGAGATCCGCTTTTGCGACCATCTGACAAGCAAAGTTAAGGCAGAAACCAGATTCACGCCACAGCCAGGTTAGTAACTTATCAACTGCCGTGGGTTCACTTAACAACTGTGGCAAGAAAAGTCCTAAAATGGAATTAACAAACGTTTCACTTAGTGACAGAAATTTTGGGCTGAAATTGTGGTCGTAAGCCGAGGACTACCTGTAAGAGCCCCAAACCACGTTAACCCTTCAATTGAAATAATCTCTTTGTTTTCTTTCGTCCCAGCAACTCACTCGGATCGGAAAGTAATCCCGGAAGTATCTCCATATGGCCCAGTTCCGGATCCACTGTGATCTTCTTCCAGCTTTGAAAAAATAAAAAAGAGAAAACAATGGGGAGAGGATCTAAACAAGGGAGGTTCAGGCAACTAGCCTATTGGGGGAAGCTGATTTACATTTAGTTAACCACATGGCTCAAATCAAGGAAGGGAAAGGTAGGAACAAGCATCAAAGCAAAACCACCTGTCTTCCCAGATTTGGGGCTTGGATCATCCTGGTTTAGGGCTACAGTATGAAAAAAAATCAATACTTCCCATCAATTTCTACCCTGCCTCTGAAGATACAGAATAATTGGGAGTCTGAATCTACAGACTTAAAGGTGGTAAGTCTGAAAAACACTTATCCATGGCTTGGGATGTTGGGGAAAGCTGAAATCCTCCAGACTAGGGGTAGGCAACCTTGGCTCTTTTATGACTCGGGGACTTCAACTCCCAGAATTCCTCAGCCAGCATGGGGGAACTATGGCCCCTTTGTGATTTGTGGACTTCAACTCCCAGAATTCCTGAGGCAACATGGGGGAACAATGGCCCCTTCATGACTCGGGGACTTCAACTCCCAGAATTCCTCAGCCAGCATGGGGGAACTATGGCCCCTTCATGACTTGCAGACTTCAACTCCCAGAATTCCTCAGCCAGCATGGGGAACTATGGCCCCCTTTATGACTAGGAGAGACATGATAGCAGTCTTCCAGTATCTCAGGGGCTGCCCCAAAGAAGAGGGAGTCAAGCTATTCTCCAAAGCACCTGAAAGCAGGACAAGAAGCAACGGGTGGAAACTAAGCAAGAAGAGAAGCAACCTAGAACTAAGGAGAAACTTCCTGACAGTGAAAACAATTAACCAGCGGAACAGCTTGCCTCCAGAAATCGTGGGCACTCCAACACTGGAAGTTTTAAAGAAGAGACTGGACAGCCACTTGTCCAGAATCATATAGGGTCTCCTGCTTGAGCAGGGGGTTGGACTAGAAGACCTCCTGGGTCCCTTCCAGCTCCATTCTGATTGATTGATTGATTGATTGATAGGATCTTGGTGAGCTCCAGTTGGCTAAAAACAGACAGACCATGGAGACATTATTTTTGTATCTAGCGAGCACGGAAAATTTCATAGCTGGCTGGACTTTACTGCAACCAACATCCTTAGTAAAAACAACAACAACAACAATCCTTTGCTTTAACCAAATGGAACCAAGGGCCTTCCTAAGGGATCGGATTGGGGCAGGTCTGACACTTACCCTTCCTGGGAGTGTTCCAGTCGAAAGCGTACCACACTAAGTATAGAACTGTTATAATCCAACAGTCTGTGCAGAGGATATATATGAGGATAATAGTGCAAATAACTCCTGGAAGAAAAGAGAAGAGAAGAGAGAATTAATCCAGGTCAGAAATTTCATATTTCCTCAAAGCAAAACAGGAGGTCCTTCTTTCAGGTTGCAGCAGCTGCAAGTTCTCAGCACAGCTTCTGTCTTCCTGCTTGGGTGGGGAGGGTTGGACTAGAAGACCTCCAAGGTCCCTTCCAACTTTGTTATTCTATTCTATTCTATTCTATTCTATTCTATATCCCATCCCATTATTCTATTCTATTCTGTTCTGTTCTATTCTGTTCTGTTCTATTCTATATCCCATCCCATTATTCTATTCTATTCTATTCTATATCCCATTCCATTATTCTGTTCTGTTCTATTCTATTCTATTCTATTCTATTCTATTCTATTCTATTCTATTCTATTCTATTCTATTCTATTCTATATCCCATTCCATTATTCCTGTTCTATTCTATTCTATTCTATTCTGTTCTGTTCTGTTCTGTTCTATATCCCATCCCATTATTCTATTCTATTCTATTCTATTCTATTCTATTCTATTCTATTCTATTCTATTCTATTCTATTCTATTCTATTCTATATCCCATCCCATTATTCTATTCTATTCTATTCTATTCTATTCTATTCTATTCTATTCTATTCTATTCTATTCTATTCTATTCTATTCTATGCACGCGCATGTGTAAAATTCTTCCCCCTCCCTTTCCCTCCGGTCCGTCAGCTGAGGAAGGTTGGTGACCTCTGCTTTAGGCATTCCCAGAGCAAGGAAATGGATTAAGTCTCATCTGAATGCAGATCAAGTGTTGGTGAGTATCTTGGGTGCATAACTCTGTAACTGACTTAACCGGGACCTGGTATGACACCCCCCCACGTGGTTTGCAATTGCCTGCCCCCGGTCTAGCCTACAACCTTGGTATTACCTGGTGGTCTCCTCTCCAGAATTAAACAGACCCACTCATTATTATTTTTTGGGGGAAAAAGGTTCCAAGTTTCTCCCCCCCCCCTTATAAAAACTTGGAGGAACCTCGAAGGACTATCCTACTATCTAACACAGGTAGTCCTCAATTTAGAACCACACATTTAGTGGCCGTTCAAAGTTACGACGGCACTGGGGAAAAAAAGTGACTTACGATGACCGTTTTTCACACCGACCGACCGTTGCAGCATCTCCACGGTCACATGATCAAAATTCGGACGCTTTGTACTTATGACGGGTTGCGGTGTTCCGGGGGGGGGATCACGTGATCCCCCCTTCTGGGACCTTCCGACAAGTCAAGTCAACAGGGAAGCCAGCTTCGCTGAATAACCGTGTGACTGGCTTCCCTTAACAACGGCGGCCAGGAAGGTCGTAAAATGGGGCAAACGGAAAGGCTGGGAAACGGCACAAGTTGAAAGGCTGGAAAATGGGGCGAACTGGAAGGCTGTAAAATGGGGCAACTTGTAAAGTTGGGCTCAGCTGTGGTCGTAAGTCGAGGACGACCTGTAATTAATTAATCCCCTTGATGAACCTTGTCCTAAAGGAATAACAAAAGTGCCACGCTCAGCGGAAGGTTAAGGGAAAATGATCCCAAACTCCCATTGGCAAGCCGGGAGCCTCCCACCTGGGGAACAATTAAGATGTTGAGAGGCTGATCATTCAAAAGCTACCTGAGCTGCGAAGGGGAGGAATTCCCTTAAAATTCCTCTGCAATTTAATTGTACTTTGTCCCTGAAGGGGGAGAAGAAAAAAAAAAACCACCCTTGTAGCAATAAACATGTTTACTCGCCCAGAGATTCTGAGGCTGGCGGTGGATACAGAAGACTGGCAGAGCCAGGAACGCCAGTTTAGTCCTTGAATAACAGCCACTCGCTTAGTGACGGTTTGAAATTACAATGGCACTGAAAAAAAGGGGACTTAGGACTGTTTTTCACACTTAACGACCGTTACGGCAACCCTACAAGCCACGTGATCCAAATTCAGACGCTTTGGCAACTGGCATGTAGAGATTGGACAACCATTTGTCTGAAATGGTATAGGGTTTCCTGCCTGAGCAGGGGGTTGGACTAGATGACCTCTGAGGTCCCTTCCAACTTTGTCTATTCTATTCTATTCTATTCTATTCTATTCTGTATTTCTATTCTACTCTGTAATTCTATTCCATTCCATATTTTCTATTCTATTCTATTCTATTCTATTCTATTCTATTCTATTCTGTATTTCTGTTCTATTCTATTCTGTAATTCTATTCTATTCCATTCCATTCCATATTTTCTATTCTATTCTATTCTATTCTATTCTATTCTATTCTATTCTATTCTATTCTATTCTATTCTAAATTCCACATTAACATGCCATGAGCAAGTTATCTCAAACCTGCAAATCCGAACAGTTGCACCTTGGCATAGAATTCTTATTTTCTGAACAATTTAAATGTGTATCTTCTCTATCTTGGGGAAGAGATCCAATTTAGAAATAAGGGAGAAATTTCCTGACAGTGAGAACAATTAACTAGTGGAACTCCTTGCCTCCACAAGTGGTGCTTTCAGGCAGAGCGGGGGAGCGTGGCCCATTGGGTGGGCATGGCCGCTGGCTGGGTACGGCTGTGGTGATCATAGCTGTGGTGGTCACGGCAGACTGGGTGGCCGTGGCCGGGGTGCGTGGGTGGGCCGGGACAAGGCTGGCGGGGACTAGTCCCTCACCATCTCTGGGCCATCCCCAGGGGGCCAGTACCGCTTGCTTGCTCACTTCCTGCCCCACTGCTTCAAATTCCACGTGCTCGCTACTCTGGCGAACTAGGCTGGGGCGACAGCGTGCGTGCCCACAGAGAGGGCTCTGAGTGCCGCCTCTGGCACACGTGCCATAGGTTCGCCACCACTGGAATAGGGTTTCCTGTCTGAGCAGGGGGTTGGACTAGAACAGTGGTTCTCAAACTTTTTAATGCCGCGACCCCCAACCGGTCGTAAGTCGAGGACTACTCAACCGGTCGTAAGTCGAGGACTACTCAGCTGGTGCAGCACCGTTTGCAGAATGGGACTTTTGGTGGGCTCAGCAGGGCAGAGACAGCCTGGACAATTCCTATTGGCTTTTGAAAACCAATAGAATTAGACTCTATTCAAGAGAGTCTATTCTATTGGCTTTCAAAAGCCAACAGAATAAAAGGGAGGAGCACAGCTAAGGAAAAGGGGGAAAAAATGGCGGACTGCGTTGTTTGGCGACCCCCGTGAAATGGTCGTTCGACCCCAAATGGGGTCCCGGCCCACAGGTTGAGAACCACTGGACTAGAAACTAGAATATTCTATTATCCTGATTCTTTCGGCCGTGCCACGTTCTAATGATATGCCACACAAGCAATATCCAGGGTTGCCTTCCCATGGTTTGTAAAATGGGCCATGACTAATTTAACCATCCTCTCTGCCAAGGGTTTGCTTGCCCAAGTAAACAGAAGAGAAGAAAAGAGAAGCGTATTCTGGGTCATTTACCAAGGGCAGGGCAACCTAAGCTTGCCAAAGGAATGGGTGGCACTAACAAACACCCTGCCCTCCCCCAAGGAGGGATGTACTTTAACTCCCACAATTCTCCAGGCAAAGAACGCACCAGCTGGGAATTATAGCACAGGACCTCTGCAAGGCACCTCGTTAAAAATATATATGTGTATACAAGGGAAGGTGACTCGCTATTAGAATAGAATAGAGCTGGAAGGGACCTTGGAGGTCTTCTAGTTCAGCCCCCTGCTTAAGCAGGAGAACCTATATCATCTCAGACAGGTGAATGTCCAGTCTCTTCTTAAAAATCTCCAGTGATGGAGCGCCCACGATTTCTGGGGGCAAGCTGTTCCACTGGTTGATTGTCCTCTCTGTCAGGAAGTTTCTCCTTAATTCCAGGTTGCTTCTCTCTTTGTTCAGTTTCCAACCATTGTTTCTCGTCCTTCCCTCTGGTGTTCTGGTGAACAACCTGGCCCCTCTTCTTTGTGGCAGCCCCCCCAAATACTGGAACATTGCTATCATGTCTCCCCTCTTTCTTCTTTTCTTTAGACTAGCCAAACCCAAGTCCGTTCTTCGTATGTTTTAGTCTCCCAGCCTTGCATCATCTTAGTTGCTCTTCTCTGAACTTTTTCCAAACTCTCAACATCTTTTTTGTGACAAGGTGACCAAAATAAGCAATCTTTTCAGACGTGAGCCAGGAATAAGGAGAGTAGGCAATTCTTGGCCCAGCGATCTAGACCCTCCCCTTACTCACAGTCCACGTGCCTACAGGTGCAATTCACCAAGTGGACCAGTTTAACAAACCACAACTGGCTCACCTACTATGGGTTGGACTAGAAGACCTCCACTGTCCCTTCCAACTCTGTTATTCTATTCTATGTCTCCAAGCAAAGAAACCCTATAATGTGGGGGTCTTCAAACCTTGTATACTTTCAAAAGGAAAAGTGGCACAAACTGAGATTTTTGTTATCCATGGAGCAGGGGTAGGCAACCTTGGCTCTTTTATGACTCGTGGACTTCAACTCCCAGAATTCCTGAGCCAGCCATGCTGAGGGGAAAGGGAAAAGTTTCCAAGCTGAGCCATGCTGGCTCAGGAATTCTGGGAGTTGAAGTCCCCAAGTCATGAAGGGGCCACAGTTCCCCCATGCTGGCTCAAGAATTCTGGGAGTTGAAGTCCACGAGTCATAAAGGGGCCCTGGTTCCCCCATACTGGCTCAGGAATTCTGGGAGTTGAAGTCCACGAGTCATAAAGGGGCCCTGGTTCCCCCATACTGGCTCAGGAATTCTGGGAGTTGAAGTCCACGAGTCATGAAGGGACCATAGTTCCCCCATGCTGGCTCAAGAATTCTGGGAGTTGAAGTCCACGAGTCATAAAAGAGCCAAGGTTGCCTATCCCTGGTCTATGGAGATCCTCTGTCATCCAGATCCTGGTTGTCCCAAAGGTGCTTTTTCACGAGGCAACTGGACTTTCTTTGTTTCTGAATAACAATAATAAAGTTGGATGGGATCTTGGAGGTCATCTAGTCCAACGACTTTCTTTGAAGACGTTTCGCCTTTCATCCAAGAAGCTTCTCCAGCTTCTGCTTCTTCAGCTCTGAAGAAAAGTCTTGAGATGAGAAGCGAAACGTCTTCAAAGAAAAACAAAGGAAGTCCAGTTGCCTCGTGAAAACGCACCTTTGGGACATGGAGTGAAAAACACCACACAGGGCATTAAGCCAGATTTTCGCAAACAAGTTGGACGCCTGCAGCAAATCCATTTGTTCCAAGTAGGGGTGGATCCCTAACCCCCCCTTCCATCCCCCACAAAATGGCCTTGACAAGTCACGGTTACACTCATATTTTGGATCACGGGGTAGATAAAACTTGGGACTGGTGTCCAGGTCCTTTGAACTCGGGACAGGCATCCCATTCCTTTTTTACCGTGGAAATCCTGGATTATTATTCAGGGTTTAGGTAAAGCTGAATAAGAAAAAGGAATCTGAATTTAGGAAGAAAGAATTAGAACAGAGCTGGAAGGGACCTTGGGGGTCTTCCAGTCCAGGCCCCTGCTCAAGCAGGAGACCCTATATCAATGGTTCTCAACCTGTGGGTCAGGACCCCATTTGGGGTCGAACGACCATTTTACGGGGGTCGCCAAACAACGCAGTCCGCCATTTTCCCCCCCCTTTTCCTTAGCTGTGCTACTCCCTTTTATTCTATTGGCTTTTGAAAGCCAATAGAATAGACTCTCTTGAATAGAGTCTAATTCTATTGGCTTTCCCAAGCCAATAGGAATTGTCCAGGCTGTCTCTGCCCTGCTGAGCCCGCCAAAAGTCCCATTCTGCAAACGGTGCTGCACCAGTTGAGTAGTCCTCGACTTACGACCGGTTGAGTAGTCCTCCACTTACGACCGGTTGGGGGTCGCGGCATTAAAAAGGTTGAGAACCACTGCTATATATGATTCTGGACAAGTGTAGTATTTTAGACAAGTGGCTGTCCAGTCTCTTCTTAAAAATCTCCACTGATGGAGCACCCACAACTTCTGGAGGCCAGCTGTTCCACTGGCTAATTGTTCTAACTGTCAGGAAGTTTCTCCTTAGTTCCAGGTTGCTTCTCTCCTTGATTAGTTTCCATCCGTTGCTTCTTGTCCTGCCTTCAGGGGCTTTGGAAAATAAGTTGCCCCCCCTCTTCTTTGTGGCAGTCCCTCAAATACTGGAATACTGCTATCATGTCCCCCCTCGTCCTTCTCTTCGTTAAACTAGACATACCCAATTCCAGCAACCGTTGTTCACATGTTTTAGTCTCCAGATCTTTAATCATCTTAGTTGCTCTTCTTTGCACTTTTTTTTTGTCCCAAAGTCTCAACATCTTTTTTGTAATGTGGTGACCAAAACTGAATTAGAACTCCATGTGTTTCATTTTTATCAACAAACGGTATACATTCAATGGTATAGAAATGGTATAGGGTCTCCTGCTTGAGCAAGGGGTTGGACTAGATGACCTACAAGGTCCCTTCCAACTCTTTGTTATTCTGAAATATCCATTTCTGCCTTGACTGTTCATCTGTCTCTTCGATGCTCTGAGCTTCGTTTTGCGGGCAACGTTTGTACACCTTAATGCCAAATAGTCCTTGATTGACAAAAACATTCACTTAGTGTCCGTTTGAAGTTACAACAGCACCGGAAAAAGTGACTTATGACCGTTTTTCACACTTGTGACCGTTGCAGCGTCCCCGTGGTCACGTGATCAGAATTCAGACGCTTGGCAACTGACTCGTGTTTATGACGGTCGCAGGGTCCCGGGGTCACGTGACCCCCTTTTGCCCCTTTCTGACGAGCGAAGTCAAGGGGGGGGGAGGCAGATTCACTCAACAACCGTGTTCCTCACTTAACAACTGCAGTGATTCCCTTAACAACTGTGGCAAGGAAGGTCGTAAAATGGAGCAAATCTCTCTTAACCACAGTCTTGCTTCGCTACAGAACTTAGGGGCTTGATTGTGGTCGTAACGTGAGGCCTAGGTCAACGCTGCTAACATCGGGATGTTCTTGCTTTGGCAACATATGGAGATGCAGCCATTTTCCTTCTTATGTTTTACTCTTAGAATTAGAGTTAGAATTAGAGGATACTGGGGGGGGGGAGGAATGTGCCTGGGAGTTTAGTTAGACACAACAATATCGTAACTAGTGTGAGAACCAAGGTTTTTTGAAATAAGAGAGGATAAGAAATGGCGGGCTGGAGAACTGGAGAGAAAGCCCGCATTTCAAGCTAATTGGGGAATGTGATTTATGACAGTTAATTGGAGGAGGGAATTGTGCTTTGATACTATGTGCTCAGGGGAGGGGAATTCAGATTTTGGCTTTGCCTATGTACCTGCCGATGCTATGCTATTCAAATAAGGATTCTTTAAGGTAAACAAGTTGTTCGAAGAGTTTCATCTGTCGGAACCATGACAGCCTATCTGTATGCTTCAGCTTTCTTTTTTCTTTTTCTAGCTTAGCGTATCGCAGGGTCGTTAACTGAATCTGGCTTTCCCATTAACTTTTGCTTGTCATAAGGTCACAAAAAGGAATCACGTGATACTGGGGGACACTGCAACCGTCATAAATATGAGCTAATTGCCAAACCTCTGGATTTTGATCACGTGACCATGGGGATGCTGCAACGGTCGTAAGTGTGGAAAACGTTCATACGTCACTTTTTCAATGTCGTTGTAACTTTAAACGGTCGTTAAACGAATTATAGTAAAGTCGAGGACTTAATTTTGAGGAAGCTGCTGGGTCTTAGATTTCAATCCAGTTGTCTAAACACGGCCCCTGTATTTCACCTAGGCCAGGTGTAGGCAACCTTGGTTCTTTTATGACTCGTGGACTTCAACCCCCAGAATTCCTGAGCCAGCATGAGGGAAACTTTGGCCCCTTCAAGACTTGTGAACTTCAACTCCCAGAATTCCTCAGCCAGCATGAGGGAATTATGGCCCCTTCATGACTTGTGGACTTCAACTCCCAGAATTCCTCAGCCAGCATGAGGGAATTATGGCCCCTTCATGACTTGTGGACTTCAACTCCCAGAATTCCTCAGCCAGTCATGCTGAGGGGAAAGGGAGGTTTCCAAGCTGAGCCATGCTGGCTCAGGAATTCTGGGAGTTGAAGTCCACGAGTCATTAAAGGGCTAAGATTGCCTACTCCTGACATAGGGCTAGGCAACCAAGATCAAAGTAGATAGAGTCTCTCTTGAAGGCAGCTTTTAGTGATCCATGCATCCCTCTCTCCCAATAGTAGCACCCCAAAAGTCTCAAGTGTTTGAGACAGGACGACTTCCTTACCCATCATAAGGAACGAGATCACCCATTGCAGCACTGAAATTATCTGCAGCTGCTTCTCCACTTTGGACTTCGACAGCCAAGAGAGATCCTGAAGGGCTGATAATATGCTGGAACCGGTCCCTGAAAGGAGAAAAGGAAGAGAATTTGGTCTATGGAACGATTTTCAAAGGCTTCCCCAACCGATTCCTTCCAGATGCTTTGAATGCGACTCTCCGCATTCCCTGTTAATTAATTCCCTACTAACCATTAAGTATCCATTCTCTACTAACCATTAGGTAGTCATTCCCTACTAACCATTAAATATTTATTCCCTGCTAACTATTAAGTATTCATTCCCTGTTAACCATTAAATATTTATTCCCTGCTAACCATTAAGTATCCATTCCCTACTAACCATTAGGTATTCATTCCCTACTAACCATTAAGTATCCATTCTCTACTAACCATTAGGTAGTCATTCCCTACTAACCATTAAATATTTATTCCCTGCTAACTATTAAGTATTAATTCCCTGCTAACTATTAAGTATTAATTCCCTGCTAACCATTAAGTATTTATTCCCTGCTAACCATTAAATATCCATTCTCTACTAACCATTAGGTATCCATTCTCTACTAACCATTAGGTATTCATTCCCTACTAACCATTAAGTATTCATTCTCTACTAACCATTAAGTATTCATTCCCTACTAACTATTAAGTATTCATTCCCTGTTAACCATTAAATATTTATTCCCTGCTAACCATTAGGTATTCATTCTCTACTAACCATTAAGTATTCTTTCCCTACTAACCATTAAGTATTCATTCTCTACTAACCATTAAGTATTCATTCCCTACTAACCATTAAGTATTCATTCCCTACTAACCATTAAATATCCATTCTCTACTAACCATTAGGTAGTCATTCCCTACTAACCATTAAATATTTATTCCCTGCTAACCATTAAGTATCCATTCCCTACTAACCATTAAGTATCCATTCTCTACTAACCATTAAGTATCCATTCTCTACTAACCATTAAGTATCCATTCTCTACTAACCATTAAGTATTCATTCCCTACTAACCATTAAGTATTCATTCCCTACTAACCATTAAATATCCATTCTCTACTAACCATTAAGTATTCATTCCCTGCTAACCATTAGGTATCCATTCTCTACTAACCATTAAGTATTCATTCCCTACTAACCATTAAGTATCCATTCTCTACTAACCATTAAGTATTCATTCTCTACTAACCATTAGGTATCCATTCTCTACTAACCATTAAGTATCCATTCTCTACTAACCATTAAGTATTCATTCCCTACTAACCATTAAGTATTCATTCCCTACTAACCATTAAGTATTCTTTCCCTACTAACCATTAAGTATTCATTCCCTACTAACCATTAAGTATTCATTCCCTACTAACCATTAAGTATTCATTCTCTACTAACCATTAAGTATTCATTCCCTACTAACCATTAGGTATTCATTCCCTACTAACCATTAGGTATTCATTCCCTACTAACCATTAGGTATTCATTCCCTACTAACCATTAAATATCCATTCTCTACTAACCATTAAGTATCCATTCCCTACTAACCATTAAGTATCCATTCTCTACTAACCATTAAGTATCCATTCTCTACTAACCATTAAGTATCCATTCTCTACTAACCATTAAGTATTCATTCCTACTAACCATTAAGTATTCATTCCCTACTAACCATTAAGTATCCATTCTCTACTAACCATTAAGTATTCATTCCCTTCTAACCATTAAGCATGCCTGGCTGAGGAATTTTGGGAGTTGAAGTCCACGTCATAAAAGGGCCGAGTTTGAAGACCCCTGCTCTAGACTGACCCAATTCATGCAAACTTTCAACAACAATCCAACCAGCCCCAAACATCCTCTATACCAAAAAAAAAAAAAAAGTCTCAAATCCTACTCAATTTCAGTCATTATCGTTTCTGAGACAAGGCCCAAGCCTTGCTGGATTTTCAGCCCACATTAACTTGGGAGATCAGCAGAGTTCTTTAAGAAGAGCCAGCAAAAATTCACAGGGCGTTAAGTTGGGGATAAACTTGCCACATCTACACAGTCCTACAAAGTACACAAAATCAATGGAATGGGTTGCCTTCAGACATTGTGGGTGATCCATCAGTGGACGTTTTTAAGAAGAGACTGGACAGCCATTTGTCTGAAATGGTATAGGATCACCTGCTTGAGCAAGGGGTTGGTCTAGAAGACCTCCAAGGTTCTTTGCAACCCTGATATTCTATACTTTTCACCCGGTTTGGTCAAGTTGAGTGAAGACAGTGAAACATACAACAGAGCAAGAAACATACAACCTAAGGATCGGAAGGGAGCACAGAGGTCATCTAGTCTAACCCTTTCCCACCTCAGAAATCTACTTCTATACTTAAACCAGTTGTGATGCTGGCTCAGTTTAGATCAGGGGTCCTCACTCGGCCCTTTTATGACTTATGGACTTCAACTCCCAGAATTCCTCAGCCAGTGTGCCTGGCTGAGGAATTCTGGGAGTTGAAGTCCATGAGTCATAAAAGGGCCGAGTTTGAAGACCTCTGGTTTAGATATAACCACTACTCTATGGTTAAAAGCTGCAGGAGCAGGGAAACTCAGGTCCTCCAGAAGATGCTGAACTACAATTCCCAGTATGCCCCCTATTCACCATATTGGTTGAGATTGCTGGAGATTGAAGTTTTCAGAAATGTCACTTTCAGGATTTCAGTTTTTCCAACATTTCAAGCCATAAACCAGGGTTTCTCAGTCTAGGCCAGTAAGATGTGTGGGCTTCAACTCCCAGAATTTAGCTGTGCTGGTTGGGGCATTCTGGGAGTCAAAGTCCCCACATCTTAAAGGGGCTAAGACTGAGAAACACTACCCTAGATTGTCGGCGGTCGCAACCTTGATAGCCACAAAGCACAACCTCAAATCCTGACTTTAAACTGTCTTAAACTGTCTTAGAGGCAGTATGGTCTAGTGCAGCGGTTCTCAACCTGTGGGTCGGGACCCCATTTGGGGTCGAACGACCATTTCACGGGGGTCGCCAAACAACTCAATCCGCCATTTTTTCCCCCTTTTCCTTAGCTGTGCTACTCCCTTTTATTCTATTGGCTTTTGAAAGCCAATAGAATAGACTCTCTTGAATAGAGTCTAATTCTATTGGCTTTCAAAAGCCAATAGGAATTGTCCAGGCTGTCTCTGCCCTGCTGAGCCCGCCAAAAGTCCCAGTCTGCAAACGGTGCTGCAAGTTGTCTGCGGCGAAGGCGAGCTGTCTGGAAGCTTCCACCCCTCCCTGCTGAGCAACTACTAAAAATGTAAGGAAAAGAGGGCCAGGGGTGGGAGGTGGGAGGCCGGCGGGCGCAGGGAGGGTTGCTGGCATGCATGGGCCCGGCAGGTGCCTTACCTCCCTTGGGCTGGGCCAGCTGGTGGCCCAGCCGGTGGTCGGCCTGCGCCATTTCTGCCGCTTGCCAGCTACACCTCGGCCAGCGCAGGGGGCGGCACCACGCATGTGCGGCGCTCCCGGGCAGGGAAAGTCCTCGACTTACGACTGGTTGGGTAGTCCTCGACTTACGACTGGTTGGGTAGTCCTCAACTTACGACCGGTTGGGGGTCGCGGCATTAAAAAGGTTGAGAACCACTGGTCTATTGGCTAAGGCACCAGCCTAGAAAGCCGGAGATGGTGAGTTCTAGTCCCACTTTAGCCATGAAAGTCAGATGGGTGACTTTAAGCCAATCACCAGGAGACGGTGAGTTCTAGTCCCACCTCAGCCATGAAAATCAGATGGGTGACTTTGGGCCAATCACCAGGAGACGGTGAGTTTTAGTCCCACCTCAGCCATGAAAATCAGAAGGGTGACTTTGAACCAATCACCAGGAGACAGTGAGTTCTAGTCTCACTTTAGCCATGAAAGTCAGATGGGTGACTTTGAGCCAATTATCAGGAGACGGTGAGTTTTAGTCCCACCTCAGCCATGAAAATCAGAAGGGTGACTTTGAGTCAATCACCAGGAGACGGTGAGTTCTAGTCCCACCTCAGCCATGAAAGCCAGCTGGGTGTCTTTGAGGCAATCACCAAGAGACGGTGAGTTCTAGTTCTGCCTTCGAACATGAAATCCGGCTGGGTGACTGTTCAGCCCAGCCCATCACACAGAGTTGTTGCAGAGAAAATAAGAGGAGGAAGGAATATTAGGTGTGTTCGCCACCTTGACTTATTTACAAACAAAAATAAAGACGGGATAAAAAACAGCTAACTGAAGAATGTTGCCAATCCCCTGTGCCAATCATGCTCGCCCTGAAAGTCCCAACTGGCTGGGAATCCTGAGAGTCGTTGTCCCTGCATCCCTGCAAGGCGCTGGATTCAGAAAGCTGGGTTGTAGATCTGCAATCAGCTTGGGAAGCAACTGGGTTGTGTAGGGATTCCTGTTTTTTTGCTTCTCTCTTATATTTCTGTGCGGAGACAGCCGTGCTCCTTCTTCATCCTTTTTTTCATTGGCAGGGCTGGGTTTAATCATCCCTGCATTCTTGATCTCCACGAATCATCCAGCGAGGCAGGTTGGCTTGGAAACCGCCAAGGTTAAAAATAATCTTTGGAAAATTGGGTGTGTGTGGTTTTTTTTAAACTGTATGGAGCTGAGATAACAGCAGCAAAGCAGGCTGGAGGTGAACGATGGTGGCCAATTGTGTTGCCCTGGAGATAAGACTGAAATCAGAGATTGCAACACAGCCACAGTTTCTCTTCTTCTGGATTCAGAGTGCAGAGTAACAGAGCTGGAAGGGACCTTGGAGGTCTTCTAGTCCAGCAACCCTGCTCAAGCAGGAGAACCTACTGTATACCATTTCAGACAAGTGACTGTCTACTAGTCCAGGGGTGGGCAACCTTGGCTCTTTTATGACTCATGGACTCGTGCTAAGGTTATCTACCCCTGGTCTAGTCTCTTCTTTAAAACCTCCAGTGATGGAGCGCCCACAATGTCTGGAGGCAAGTGATTCTACTGGTTAGCTGTCATCACTGTGAGGAAGTTTCTCCTTAATTCCAGGTTGCTTCTCTCTTTGATCAGTTTCCAACCATTGCTTTCTTGTCTTGCCTTCTGGAGCTTTGAGG